CAGATCATTATTTGTTCTTCTGCTAGTCTGTCCATTCTGTTTATTTCATGGTTCATGTTTTGGATCCTGGCAGCCAGTGGAAAGAGTTTTTTTGTGTTTGTCTCGTCTCCTAATCATCCACTGTTCCTCCCCTGCTGAGTCCTCTGGGTTTTTGGCTCAATATGTGGGGAGGTTAACTTTTTATCCCAGTAAGCCTGGCTCCAGGGAGGAGACCAGTTTAAAGGTCCTGCATCGAGTTCTGGTTCCACGTCCTGTCTCTGCTACCCTCTTCCACTGAGCCTCCCCGTCTGCATCTGATCGTGTCTACTCCTGTGCTTGACCGCCTGCTCACGCTTCCAGACTCTGTTGGACTCTGAACCTGCCTGGGAGCTCTTCGAGGCCTGGAAGCCTGGATCCTGCCGGTTCTGTCTGTTCTGAAACCCTGACCAGGATAAGCTCCCTGCAAGACCTCTGGGACTGCAGCACTGGGGACACTCTTGGACTGGACTGTTAAACCAGGTAAGTGACCAACTCGGATAATCATCTTCTGTCAGATGATCGTGGTCACTTACCAGTGTTTCTCCCACTAACAGAGTGTCTGAGATTGGGCGGTGCCCCGCCCCCCACCTGCAGTCGCCGCGTGCCACAGATCCCCTTTTAGTTCTGTTCATTTAATAAATGTTTTGAACTTGCCTACTGACTGTCCCTCTTTGTATACTGGGTCCATCTGTCCTCGTTTTTTGACAAAGCCTTTGTTGGGACTTCACGTTATTTGCACCCTCAGCATTTAGTTCACCTTGCTCCTATGAAATCAGGCTATTTGATCCCTCGCTGTGTAGAGAGTTTAGGGTTTCTAACCTTCTATACAATTTTTTTTCTCACTTTTGCTTATATTTACTGTTTTTCTTTTGGTGCAGTTTGGTTCCTGACCGTAAAAACACATTGTTCAATTTAATTTAAATGAAGATAGTGACCAACTGTGGTTCAAATAAAGTCAATTCAGAATGAAATAAAAATAGAAACTTAAATATGAAAGTATTACCTGAACTATATTAGGTTATCTTTAGCATTATTTAAAGATTTTGCTAAATTTTAGCAAGTAGATTTGTTAAACACATGGAACATGCTTCTGGAAATGGTCTTAATCTGAGCTATAAAAAGTAAAACGTAGCTTATAGAATAAAAGAAAAGGTTTGGCCCTTTGATAGCAAACTGTAAAGAAATGTGGGATGACTTTTCTTTTTGGATCATATAAATTTCTATATTTTGAAAATAGATGAACGGACAGATGGTGGGACTTATTAAACAGTAAGAGGAATAAAATATTCTTAATTGTTTTACTTTACAACATTCCCTCAGTCCAGGAAATTACTTAATTAAAAAAAAAACGTTCTCACCACTTTGATCATCGAGACATACGGGTCTTTGTGTTTCACAGCATCAGATCTCTTCATTTGTAATGCTCCGTTGCTATAAGAGCCTCCTTGGTTTTCTACTTCAGTCCATTTCCTATTCCAAATATTTATCCCTCAGCCTTAAATCATCTATTCTGTGTACCTGAGGCCTTCATCAGTTTGCGAGCCCTCTTTTCTGCAATGGATGTGTTCTCATAGCTGGTCTGATTGTCCTCGGAGTGGCGAAAGCTGACGAACTTGACGGACCTCGTGTATATTACAAGATCCGATAAAGCCTGGGCCACCTTCACCTTCTTCTTCTAGCCATTGCAGTCAAGCAAAAAAAGATTACATTTCAAAGAACACCAGATCTGTTGATACACAAACATGTCGCTGACTGTAATCTGCTTTAATCTGACGGCAGAAAAGAAAAAACTTACTTTCTTCTGAGACCCTTCTTTTCTCGGAGACCAGAACTTTCCTTTAGCTTGATGTCCCTCGCTCTCCTTGTCCTCCTCATCATCTTCCTCCTCCTCCTCATCACTTCCCTCTCCCTCATCTGCACCCTCCTCTGCCTCTCTTTTGTCCTTTGCCTTAGACTGTGACTTTAGCTTTTTGTTCTTGATCAGGATCTTATACTTTAAATCCTAACAGCCCCACACAAACAGTAGGAACTTATACAATTATGCACACAAGCTTAATACATCTATCTTTAATTCATGCTGCACTTTTAAAACTTTCAAGAATTTGCATCAGTATAACAACTAAGCAAAAGTTGTGCACAAAATACTGCGGCGCTGATTTATTGCTGAGATCATTTCAGGTCACATTCACATCAGTGCACATAGTTTGAGGTTATAAAGATGAAGCAGCTGCAGTTAATCATAAAGTAATATGTCTGCTTTCTGCAATTTACCCTGTTGACTTCAAAGTTGTTTGTGCTGTAAAGCGTGGCTTTCTGTCACAAATTGACTGTATTATAAAAGATCTGTAAGGCAAAAAATATGAAAATATACCAGCAGATTTAACAATGCAAGAGATGCTAGACTCTACTAGCTCTGCAAGTTACTTTATCTCTGCAATTAAAAATATATATATATATACTTTTATTTGAGCCTATTTTAGTCTCCAGTTGGGAATGTGCTCTCATGTTAACAAACATCTTAGCTATAATTTATGTAAATAGGATTGATACTACGTTGCGCTTTTCATTTCAAACTATAAAACCACAGAACGTCTCCCTTTGTCGATACGTGCATTAGCCTATTTAATCTGGGTATTTTGAGTTGTTAATACGGTAAAGGATTCTTCCTCTCAGAGTTGAATCCTAAAGTCTGCTAGAGATAGACACCAGGCCTCTGTGACCCTAATAAGCTCTAAAATATAGATGAATGAATGAATGGATGGATGGATGTTGAATCATAAGAGCATAGCACAATGGAATACCTGGAAACTTATCCTGGCTTAATTCATTTACCGGTAGTTTTTTTTAACTTTATAAAGGAGTTATAGGTTAGAGTTTTTTTTTCTTGAAATACACCCACAGTGAATAAATCTATTAACCTCTGGGGTTCAAGGAAATGAAATGGACTTTTGTTTTTTGTTTTTGGTGGGGGGTGGAGGGGTGGATTTCTTTTTTTGAAGTAAGGAGTCTCAATATAGGGACCCCTTTTTCATCATTCTGCTTCATTCTATCTCTATTCTCCCACTCTGCAGAATCTGTTAGTTCAATCTCTAAC